TAAAATTCCCTTTATTTTCCATGTTTTTACTATAACATTAAAAAAAAAGAAGACAATAGAGACATAAACTATTAGGATATTTGACTTCATTTTTGTTTTGTTTTTTGGTTTTTCTCCGGTACCAGGAGTCGAACTTACGACCTTGCGCTTGCCAGGCAGGCGCTGTGCTGCTGAGCTAAATCCCCAGCCCCCTGACTTTGTTTTTGTGAAGTGAATACACGACTGTCTGGTTCGATGGAACCAATTCTTAGTGAGTTCTCAGGGTGCTTGTTAGAAGTTTTTGATCTGGCTGGGGATGTAACTCAGTGGCACGGTGCCTGCCTGGCCAGTGCAAGATCCTGAGTTCAATTCCCAGTACCAAAAAAAACAAAGAGAGAAAGAAAGAAAATGTGATTCCCCCCAATTACAACATTTTTAAAAGATGTTTTTGATCTAATTTTACTGTTCACAAGCTTCACTGCCAAAAATATTTGTTCCCAAATGTACATACTGCCCCTGCCAGAAGCCATGACATAAATAAGGTGTGATTATGAAGCAAGGGGTATTTTAGTGTCTTAGAAAAGCCTAGTAAAGAGACATGGTCAAATTTTTCTTTGAGTTTTGCCAACTCTATAGATCCCATTTGGTTGGATTCCTTTTTTTTTTTTGTATCAGGACTTGAACTCAGGACCTTGTACTTGCCATACAGATCCCATTTGAAAGTTCACAGGTAAGATATTTATGTTGACTCAAAACAGAGTCACAAATACAAATGTGCAAAAAAAAAAAAAATGATGATATTTTTGGAAATTTTGAAACAGGTTCTAAAATTCCTTTGTCAAAATGGAAATTATTTTACAAACTAACACAAGAAGTTAAACTTTAACAATGACAAGGGGTGAGTGAAAACATGTTGAATATTCAGATTTTAAAAAATTATTACAGTAGCTGGGCGTGGTGGTGCACACCCATCACCCTAGCACTTGGGAGGCTGAGGCAGGAGGATCGCCATGAGCCTGGGCTACATGTTGAATTCAAGGCCAGCATGGACTCCGCAGTGAGACTTTGTCTCTAAAGAATCTTATGGTAGAAGACACATTGCTATGTCCCCGCCCCCAAGTCTTCCCCATGGCTTGGAACACATCCCATCCTCCTTGCCCCTTTCTGCAGCAGTTCTGGAGTCCTCTTTCATGAGTGTCATTAGTTGCACTGTTATGGTGGCCTTGATGTCTTGAATTGACTCAAAGCATTTCCCTGTTGCAGTCCCTTTCACTTTGGGGCGGAGCCAGAAGTCACACGGTGCCAGGTCCGGTGACTAAGATGGAGGGGACACAGCGTCATGCTTTTACAGCCTGCCTGTCACGCGTCACTGAGCAGCAGCGTTCGCTGTATTTCGCCACCTCATAAGGACACCCGGAGGGCTCCAGAGCGGCGTCAGAGAGCGGCAAGCTCGCGGGGACGAGCGTGCGAAGGAGGGGGAGGGTTTTGGGGGCTTGTTGGCAAGGTGGCTTTTACCGTAATGTTTTTTAATTTAAGCGTTCACGTGCATTTTGATCACGGTGGTAAATAAGAAAATGTCCACGAGTGCTCCGTAACAGCAGGCGTGCGTCCTCAGGGCACGCGCATGCGTGGGTGAGGAGCTGCCTCACACTCGCCCAGCTGCGCTCCCATTAGGCTGTGCGCGGCATGTGGGAGGCAGAGTCAGCTCAGTGCCCTCCACAGCAGACCCTGGCCGCCCACACAGCCCGCGCTCCAGCATCCTGCAGTTTTTTGTTTGTTTCTGAGACAAGGTCTCACTATGTAGCCCGGGCTGGCCTCGAACTGGCAGCGATCCTCCTGCCTCAGCCTTCAGAGTAATCACGTGCTGGGATTACAGGCGTGCGCCACCATGCCCAGCGACCATGTGGATTTTGTCCTTTATTCTGTGAACACGCAGTGTTCTCTGATAGATTTCTGTATGTTGACTCGGCTTACATCCCTGGGGTGGAACCCAGTTGGTCGTGAGGTACGTCCCTCTTTGTTAGGTTCCTCTGCTGGCACTTTGTTCAGGATCTCTGTGTCAGTATTAGGTGACATTGGCCTGTAGTTTTGTTTTCTTCTCTTTGTATATCTGTGTTTGGTTTTGGCAGAAGAGTAATTCTGGCATTGTAGAATGAGTTGGAAAGGGTTTCCGCCTCTTCTAGCTTTTGGAAGTTTGGAAAGGATTGATGTTAAATTTTTTTTTTATCCGTGTTGGGGATTGAACCCTGGGACACTCTACCACCCAGCTACATTCTCAGCTCTCAGCCCCATCTACAAATTTTGAGACCAGCTCTCACTAAGTTACTCAAACTAGCCTCAAACTTGCTATCTTCCTGCCTCAGCCTACCAAGCAACTGGTGTTGCAGGTGTGTGCAACTGGGCCTGGCTATGTAATTCTTCTTTTACTTTTTGATTTGTTTTGTTTCTGTTTTCTGAGACAGGGTCTTGCTGTGCAGTGCAGGCTGTCCTTGAACTTGTGGCACCCTCCTGGCTCAGCCTCCCAAGTGCTGAGATTACAAGGGAGTAATCACACACCTGGCTGTAATTCTTATTTTATTTTATATTTATTGGGGAGGGGATTTGAGACAGCGTCTTGCTATGTAGTTCAGGCTGGCCGTAAACTCACTATGTAGGCCAGGCTGGCCTTGAACTCATGGCAGTCCTCCTGCCTCAGCCTCCAGAGTGCTGGAGTTACAGGCGTTCATCACCACACCCGGCTGTAATTCTTATTTTAATGCTAGATAGGAAGCATAAGTAAAGTGAGCTGGCCTTGGGCTTTTATTTGTGGGAATTTTACTGACTCCTAATTAGAACTTCTTTATATGACTATCCAAATTTTCTGTGCTGATTTAGCACTATGTCCATTTCATCAGGGGGATTTACCTCACTGGCATACGGGCAGCCACGGTACTTGTGGTCGGCAGGACAAGTCGGCCCCAAGAGCTCCAAAGCTGGGGCTACGTGTCTTGTCATGTCCGTGAAGTGGGAGTCACCTTGCAGATGGGGTGCAGCTTGCGAACCAGTGGGGCTCCCGAGAGGCAGGCGCCCCGTTACCCGGGTGACGCGGTGCAGCCAGGGAGCCGCTCACACCGGGAGACGGCAGCGCGAGAGGGAAGGCGATGTCGTGTTTGCCCTTGTGCCTCTGCGCCCTCCCTCCCTCTGCGCCCTTCCTCCCTGTTGAGCAGGCCGCTCCCCAAGTCATGCTTGCGACACCCTGAGAGCAGGGCAGAGCCGGTGCTGGTCACCAAGCACTTTGTAGGTGCTGCCTCTGTAGGTTTAAAATTCTTTAAGTAATTAAAGAATATATGAGAGGGCGTGGTGGCTGGCACATGGAGGCTGAGGCGGCAGGGTGGCTTCAAGTTTGAGGCCAGCCTGGGCTACGCAGTGGGACCCTGTCTCAAAAAAAAACTAAAAAAAAAAAAAAGAAAAGAAGTACACGCAAACATATATATGAAAACATTTTTTGTTTGTTTTCAAGCAGGGTCTCATTGTGTGGTTCACTCGATCTTCCTGCCTCAGCCTCCCGAGTGCTGGGATTATAGTGCTGCACCACACCGGGTACCATGTATTTAGCCTGAGTGTTTCCCAAACCCGCAGTGCTCCGGAACCCTCTCTCTGATGTCAGAGCGGTCCACATTGCTGCTTTGGCATCAAGGACGAAGATGCTCCGCACCACGTGTGCTCAGAGAAGAGCCCTCAGGTAGCTCTGTTGTTCCCACAGCACGCAGGAGAAAGGCGGGAGCCCCCGTTTCCCTGCACGTGCGACCTCCCCCCCTCTCCCTGCCTCTCCCGCTTCTCGGCAGTGCCGGGTGGGGTGGAGCTGCACGCGGAGGCCCTGGCTTTCATTCCGCGGACCGCAGCGCTCTCTTGGCAGTGCTGGGGATGGAACCCACAGCCTCCTGCACGCAGGCCACGCTGTCCTGGAGCTACATCCCAGGCCTTTCTGGAATGTCTCACTGGACTTTGGGTGTTTAGCTCAGCTCCTCCTGGGCACCACTGCCTGCTTTATTTATTATCTATTCGTTTTGCAGCTCGGGGATCCAGCCAGGGGTCGTTCATGCTGGGCAGTGGTCTACCATGGAGCTACACCTTGAGCCGCCTTCCTGTGTCATTCTCTCTCAAAAAATAAAAGAGAGGGGGCTGGGGATTTGGCTCAGTGGCAAAGCACCTGCCTCGCAAGCGCAAGGTCATGAGTTCGGTTCCCGGTACCGGAGAAAAACCAAAACCAAAAAATAAATAAATAAATAAAAGAGAATGACTGAGGTGTACATACCTAGTCAGCTCATTTTTAAAGTATTTTCTTCGGTGTCAGATGAGGACACATCGTAATGTTTTTTGTTTGTTTTGGTGGTGCTGGGGATCGAACCCAGGGCCTTGTGCGTGCAAGGCAAGAGCTCTACCACTAGGCCAAATCTGCAGCCCAGCCATTTCATTCCTTAACTGCTACCCTCGGGAGCAGAATCAACATGAATACTAACTTTTTTGGACTGGCATTGAATCCAGGGCCTTCACGCTGAGCTCCATCCCCAGTACTTCTGAAACATTTTTAGACTGAGGCAGGGTCTCACTGAGTCATTAAGTTGCCCAGGCTGGGCTCGAACTTGTGATCCTCCTGCCTCAGCCTCCCAGAGTGCTGGGATTCCAGGTGTGCACCTGGCTGTATCTGATTTGAATTTCTAAGCTGTCATGTCCCTAACACTGTCTCACTCACAGGGCAGCCTGGACGGGAGTGGATTAAGTGGGAAACACAGTAGAACACAAAAGAAGTTTTTAATAAACAAACACAAGTGAAAACACTCCCTGCGGTACCTCCACAGAGCAACAGCCGGGCTGGGCTACCCGGCACCTAGCATAGCACTGGAAGGTCTTTTGCCCCGAGCGACGGTGTGCTAGCCCCTCGCTCACAGGCCCAGTCAGATCTTTCTTCCTCTCTGCCAGTGGGGTGGTCGTTACGATCTCTCATCACGAATAACGTTTGGAGAAAACTCGAAAACAGTTACCTGGCGTGCTGTACTGATAGTAATGGGGGTCTTCGGCTTCTTTCTTGACCGTCACAGCTTCTGTCTTCAGGGAAATACCTTCGAACACAACAGAAATGGCACACTTAGAGGAGAGGCTGGCCGGCTCCCCACGCACAAGCCACTGCACCCCGTGGGCCAGGCTCACAGCCACACCTCAGCCTGCGGAGACCCTGTGCCTCAGCCGGTCCGTGCCTTCCGTGCGCCTTATCAAGATAAATAAGGGAGCAGAGATCATATAATACAAATGTTTAGTATATTTACTTTTTTTTTGTTTGTTTGAGACTGCCTGGGCTGGCCTCGAACTCACAGTGATCCTCCTGCCTCAGCCTCCTGAGTGCGGGGATTACAGGTGTTTGCGACGTCGCCCGGGTTACAAATACCTTCTTTAAACCACGGTGTCTGGCCGGCCGTGGAGGTGCTGCCGAAGTGTGCAGCACTTTAGCTTTTCGTCCTTATTTTTTGGTTTCTGAACTTTCTGCCTTTAATGCGTTCAGTGCTTTCCCATCCCTAGGTCGAACTTTTGAGATTTCAAAGCATTTTCCATCCTTGGCCTTTCCCTCCAGTCCTGCCGGTTCCTTTTTCAGGAGCAGGATGGGCATCAACTATCACCCACGGAGAGGGACTCGCTCCCCCCCACGCCGACCCAGCAGCATGACGTCGTGAGCAGAGGCGGGGGCAGGGAGAAGCAGCGAGCTATGTCAGGGATGCAAGCAGCTGCTCTGTCTGAGGTCCAGTTATCAGTCCGCGTGGGACGTAAGGCACTGTACTCATTTCAGATGGGGGCTGTAATTAAGTAGGGGCTGGGGATATGGCTCAGCGGCATAAGCGCTTGCCTGGCAAGCCTGAGGTCATGAGTTCAATTCCCGGTACCAAAAAAAAAAAAAATACAGCTGAAGTAATATTTTATCCACGAATAGATTGTCTTTCAGAACCTCTCAGTAGCTAGAACTTCCTGAACCAGGAGCTTTCAGTTCTAGATGGTTGGGTGGAACACAATTCCAGATCAAGCACCCCTAGTCTGAAAACCTAAAATAGGAAATGCTCCAAAATCCAAAATCATCTAAGTGCCGGCTTGACACTCTAACTGGAATATTCCTCACCTGACCTCATCTGAGTGATTACAGGGAAAACGCATATATGTTGGCCGGGTGTGAAGTTGCGTGCCTGAAATCCCAGCACTCTGGGAGGCTGAGGCAGGAGGACCTAAGTTCGAGTCCAGCCTGGGCAACTTATTGAGACCTTCTCCCACAATAAGAGATAAAAAAGGGGCTGGGGATGTAGCTCAGTGTGAAGGCCCTGTGTTCAATACCCAGTGTGTCAGAAAAAGAAAAAACAAGAAAGATGTTCTAAAAATACTATATAAAATGACCTTCAGGCTATATGTTTAAAGTAAAGATAAATTTCATTTTTAGACAGGTCTCTGCCTGAAACATCACTTGCTGTGTGTGCAGGGATTCCAACATTTGACAAAAATCCAAAATCTGAAACATGCTGCTTGCAAACACTTTGGATAATGGATACTCAACCTGTATTCTGTAAATGAGACCCGGTGCGGGCCAGTGAGGGTCTTGGGCCCCACAATTTTTTTAAAAAGTAAAACAGAGCAAAGTAGTCAACGGTAACTTGCCAGATGCTCTAAGAGCTCAGGGCACCTACCGGGGTCCTCCAGGGGTTCCGTTTTCACACTGACGGGGACACAGCTGCAAGGACAAGGGGACCCTGGTTAGGACTGCTGTGAGGACACGCAGAACCCAAGCCCTGGCCCGCCAGCTCGCCAAGCCCCGCGCCTACGCGACGCTGCCTGAGCTCTGCCGTCTGCCCGCTCCTTGCGTGTGACGGAACGAAAGGGGTCAGTTGTGTCATTTTGTAAGTCCTGTTGCGCTTTTGAAGGAAGACTCTTTCAAATAAGCAAGGGCAGCATATTTGCTCTTCATGTTGTACTTTAAAACGTTACTTCCCCCCCTTTTGTTTTATTTATTTACTTGATCATTTTATCTTTCTGAGACAGGGTCTCACTGTGCAGGTCAGGCTGGCCTTGAACTCACTCTGTAGCCCAGGCTGGCCTCGAACTCACAGCGATCTGTGTGCTAACACACCTGGCTCCCCTGCACTCTGAATGTTAAGTGCTTTCCCACCCTCTACAAACTATCACGGTCAGATGTGGAATTTGCCTTCCTCCCTCTGTCCCTCCCTCCCTCCCTCCGTCTCCGACCCCCCGGGGATTGACACTACATTTGATCTTAGCCAAAAGGCGGAGAAGTGATGCTACTGGGGATTGAACCCAGGGCTACTGAACTGCACTACTTTCCCAGCCACCCCCTTTTTTGTATTTTTAATTTGGGGACAGGGTCTCATTAAGTTGCCCAGCCTGGGCTTGAACTTGTGATCCTCCTGTCTCAGCCTCCCAGAATGCTGGGATGGCAGGAGTGTGCCTCCCCACCTAGCTCAGACGGGGAATTTATTTATGATTTATTCTTTACCTTTCCTTTGGTGATAGCATGGACCTCTCAGCGTCTGTCACTGTCTCACGGCTGCCTGTGAGGCGTAAAAAGACACACACACAAGTCCTCCTGGCCCCGACACATGAGCAACATTCAGTGACACGTTAAAAAACAAACATGGAGAAGAGAGAGCGCCCAGCACGGCTGTCATGGGCCGGGAACCTGGAGGGGCACAGCCAGAGGCAGGTGTTCTGGGGCCTGGCTGTCTAGCCCAGGCTGGCCTTGAACTCACGTTGATCCTCCTGCCTCAGCCTCCCCAGTGCTGGGATTACATGCATGCGCAGCACACCCAGCTCTTTGGTGATATTTACACAGCGTTTACACTGTGGATTCGGTGTTGTGAATCCTGTAGGTGGGGGTACTGTGCTGTCTTATGCTCACTACTACCGTGACAGAATTCCGTAGTGTAGGCGCGAGTTACCCCGGGTGACAGTCATTCCCCTCCCACCACGGTGGGCCTCTCCTTTCACGTGAGCTGGGGACTAAGGATTCAGGGTGGCTCCAGAAATGGGCTCAGCCCACAGCCCAGGAGCCCCGAGCTGGACAGCACCCTCTGTCCCCAGGCCGCCCTGGAGCCGTGGGCCCCACCCGCTCCTCAACCCGTCCACCTCGCATGATGCCCTGAGCCGATGTCCCGGGCTCGGCTGGGGTTCCAGCTGCGTGCCAGGAGGACCAGAGGAAGTAAGAGCCGGGGCAGCCGGACTCCGGGCTCCGGGCACACCTACTCTTCGGAGACGGGGGTCAGACACCGCGAGGGGCTCTGGGGCCGCCATGGCCCGCAGTGCTCAGCCAGATGGCTTTCTGGGAACCGTCAGGGCTTCCCCAGAGAACCAACCGGTGGGGTTCCGCTGGTCTCAGCCTGCTCCTCTGTGACCCCCTTTTCTGCAGTGCTGGGGATGGGGCCCAGAGGCGCCTCACCGCTGAGTCGGATCCCCCGCCCACCCCCACCCCTTTGGAGACAGCATCTGCCTATGATACACAGGCTGGGCTCAAACCGCGATCCTCCTGCCTCAGCCTCCCACACAGCTGGATGACAGGCGACGGCTCCCGTGCCCGGCTTGTAGTAGGTTTGGAGATGGACGTGTGAGGCGTCCAGCTGTGTTCTTGTTCCAGATTGCTGCGGCTACACAGGGCCCCCTGGTTTCCAGATGAATCTCAGGAGTCTTCTGGTCCGTGGAAACAGGAAGTCTTTCCATTTACTCAGACAGCTGGCTCGGATTCTGTGAAGCCCTCCCGCCGAGCTTTCCTGCACTGCCCAGGGCTCTTGGGGACCGTCCTTCTGCAGCCAGCCCAAGAGCAACACGGCCCTCCCTCTCCTCTCCAGAATCTTGGGCACAGGGCCACAGCCCAGGTCCCTTCCCAAGGCCAACAATGCCTGGCCCTGGCTCAGCGGGGACTCAGAGGCCACACGGGGACCCCCAGCACCCGTGCACTTGGTGACACGGACAGGGCGGGTTTCACTCTCCTCCCTGGAATGGATGTAGACGCTCCAGGGAAGGGGCTGGGACAGAGCCTGAGTCCCTTTCTCTTACAAGTCCCCTAGAGACACCTGCCCTGCCCTGGACGCCAGAGGTCACCTCCTCAATGAGGAGAATGCAAAAGATGTGCCCAAGCAGCCGGGTGTGGTGGTGCGTGCCTGCAATCCCAGCACTTTGGGAGGCTGAAGCAGGAGGGTGGCAAACTGTAGCCCGGCCTGGGCAACTTAGCAATTTCATGAGACCTTGTTTCAAAATAAATAGTAAGAGCTGGCGTGGTGGTGCACACCTGTAATCCCAGCATTCGGGAGGCTGGGGCAGGAGGACTGCTGTGAGTTTGAGGCCAGCCTGGGCCAGGACATGAGTTCAAGGGCAGCGTGAACTACAGAGCGAAACCCTGACTCAAAAAAGACACACACACACAAAATAATAATAATAATAATAATAATAATAATAATAATAATAGTAATAATGATAATAATAAAGGGCTGGGGATGTAGCTCAGTGCAAGGGCCCTGGGTTCAACGCCCAGTAGTAGAAAAATAAAATCCAAGCTGGGCCCAAGCATGCATACTGATGAGGGGCGGGGGGCGGGGCAGCTTCGAGCAGCCACCAAGGAGGCCGTGCGGTCACTTACCCAGCTGGCTCTCCGCGCCCAGGAACGGCCTGCCGGAAACCCAGCACAGTTAGCGGCGGCACACCCGTGTGACAGTCGGCAGATACATGAGCGGGAGCAGGCACAAAGGAAGCACGGCTGGGACGGCCCCGGGGAGTGGGTGGGGGGTCACCTGTTTATGACGAAGGAAATCCCTGCTTTGTGCTCCAGGACCCTCTGGAGCGTGGGGAGATCGTAATTGTCAGGGTGCTGCAAGGGAGCGCCCTCCGGAAGTCCCCGCACCACCACGGCCGCCGGGTCCCGCAGCATCTGCTCGTAGGGGACGGGCACCATGGTCGTCGTCCCCAGCGCTTTACCTACAAGAGGGGCGAATGGCTCTCAACGGCCTGTGCTTAAGATCCACAGCCCGCGTCAGGCAGTGTCGTGAACACAGGTGGCGGCCGTGGCTGTGAAGGAGCCGGGCGTGGTGGCACACTTCTAATCCCAGCACTCTGGGAGGCTGAGGCAGGAGGATCACAGGGTAGAACCCAGCCTGGAGAAGGTGGCAACACAGCAAGACATTGTCTCAAAAGTAGAAAGGTCTGGAGGTATAGCTGAGTGCCAAGGCCCTGGGTTCCCTCCCCAGCCAACCTGCAGCAATAAATAAATAAAACTGCGCTGGCCACGGCAGGGGGCGCCCTGAGGTGGGATCAAGGAACGACATCTGACCAACGGGGTTCACGTGGGTTGGAGGGGACCACGCTGCTCTCCACAGAGCACTGGGGACTGGCTCGCGTCGCCGGGTGCAGATGAGGATGAAATGCTGGCTACGCCCGGCACAGCCGCGCTGACGCCTCAGAGACCGCCGCGTGGACGCGGACGTTACCGTAGCACAGGCCGAAGAAGTCCTCCACTGCCTTCCTGAGGGTCTCCTCCTCCCCCGAGCCGACCTGCATCCCGCCGGCCGCGCACGGAGGCTTCTCCTCACCGAGCCCTTCCGCAGCGCCTGCAAGCGGGAGAGAGACGGGGTCAGCAGCCTGCGTGGGTCTGCACTGTCCCCTTCCCCAGGCCTGTGTCGCTGCTATGGACACGAAGAAGGGGAGAAAAGGAATACACATGCAGGGAGTGGGGACGCACGCGTGTCATCCTAGTACTCTGGGAGGCTGAGGCAGGAGGATCGCAAATTCAAGGCCAGCCTGGGCAATTTAGTGATTTAGCGAGACCCTAAATAAAAAAGGGCTGGGGACGTGGCTCAGGGCAAGGCACTGGGTTTAAATCCCTGGAACTACAAACCCAAACCAATGTGATCAGCCTGGGGATGCAGTCTCATTTTTAAAGGTGCACATGTAATGTCTGCCACTGTAAGTGAGGCGCTGAGCCGTACATTAGGTCTTGATAAGTTGAGAAGGACTAAGATTATACAGAGCACTTTTACAGACTACAGTGGGATTTAACCAGAAGCCAAGAACTGAAAAAGTCCCCATATATTGGGAAATTAAACAGCAGGCTTCCAGATAACCATAGGTCAAAAAGAAGTTCCTAGGGATGTGGGAAATTATTCTGAACTAAGTAACAGGCAAACACAATGTGTTGAAATCTGCAGCGTCAGCTAACATTGTAACTTTAGTGTACAAAGTAGACAGCCAGTGACCTAAGCTACCCTATCAAGAAGCTAGAGAAGCCGGGCATGGTGGCGCATGCCTGTAATCCCAGGGAGGCTGAGGCAGGAGGATCGCTGAGAGTTTGAGACCAGCCTGGGCTACAAACTGAGCTCAAGGCCAGCCTGAACTGCACAGCAAGACTCTGCCCGCCCCCCGCCCCCTCAAAAAAAGGAAGCTAGAGGAAAGCAAAACACTTAAACTCAAAAGAAAATTCAAGTAGGGAAATAATAAAGAGCAGAAATAAATCACAAAGAAACTAAAGAATAAGGAAAAATCAACAAAGCCAAATGTTGGCACATTGGAAAGAGAAGCAATGTAGACAAATCTTTGGCAAGACTGATTAAGAGAAAGAGAAAGCGCTGTCAAAAGCCAGGCCACCTCAAGAGGAGCTGCCCTAAGAAGCCCCCTGGGCCATGCCCTGACTGTAAAGATGACCACTAGAAGTCAGACTGCCCTCTGAAGCGAAGGCCCCAGAGCTCAGACCCATCCTACCAGCTGGTCCAACAGGAATGAAGGGGCCCGGGGCATACTCTGTCTTCTCCCTCTGACCAGACCGTTATCTTCAAGGAGGAGCCCTGCGTAATCATGACTATAGAGGAAAAGGTAAACGGCCTATTGCTGGACAATGGTGCTGGTCTCTCGGTCCTTCTTTTCAATCCTGGCCTTCCTTCCAGCCGTCACACCTCAGTGAGGGGAGTCACTGATGAGGAGGTAATCTGCTATTTTTCACAACCATCAGGCTGTAACTACTTGCTAGATCTCTCTTGCATATCTTTGTTTTCCTGAGAAACCACTTTGAAGATACCACCATGTATTACAGCAGCCATTGATAATTTCCTAGCAATCTGTCCATAACTCTGTAATGTTTCTATTGTTCCTATGCTATTTCGTAAATGGATGTCTGTTTATTACTACGTGTTTCCTACAACCACCGCTGAGAATAGCCAATGCTTATTTAATTAAAAAAAAAGAAAAAGAAAGAAAACACAAATTATTAGTACCAGAAACAAATGCGGAGACATAGTTATAGATCCTCTACAGCAGACATTAAGGTAATAAAGAGGAGACACTGGGGCTGGGGATTTAGCTCAGCGGCAAAAAGCGCCTGCCTGGCAAGCGCAAGGTCGTGAGTTCGGTTCCCGGTACCGGAGAAAAACCAAGAAAAAAAAAAAAAAAAAAAAAAAAAAAAAAAAAAAAAGAGGAGACACTGTAAAGTGGGGTGGTGCCAGGGCGGACAGGAGGCCCTGGGTGGAGAGCGACTTCTATGCAGTGGAATTTCACACACGCACACCTATCTGCCAACAGTGTCTTCCTGTCCTGCCCTGAGGAGGGTGAAACTGCTTAGTCCTAGCTTAGTTCTCAGCAGATGCCGCAGAGGGAGAGACCCTAACCCTAAAGTGTGTAAGTTTTCGCTGGGTGTGTTGTACGCCCTTTCCTTCTGCAGCCTTTGCTTCCTTTTTGTGAGATTTGAGAGAAATTGGGGAGCTTTAAATACTGCACTGACCCTGTCCCTTAATCCACGCCTGTCGTCCCAGGGCTCTGGGAGGCTAAGGCAGGAAGAACACAAGTTCAAACCCAGCCTAAGCACTTTGTGACTTAAGGAGAACTTGTCTTACAATAAAAATTAAAAAGGGCTGGGGATGTAGCTCAGTGCAAAGGTGCTGCGTTCAATCTCTGGTACCCCCCAAACGAACCAACCGAGGGAAGGAAGGTTGGCCGTACAAATGGTTATTAATAGAAAAGTAGGACCTTAGTTCTAACCGGCCCTGGAAGGGTTTTTCCATTTCTTTGGGAAGGACTAGGGGCGGGGGAGTACGAGGCGGAGACCCCTGCCTCGGCCTCTCGTGTGAAGCAGTGACTCCCCGGTCCGGCCAGGCAGAGCAGGTCCATCAGAACCACAAGACAGGAGCTGTGGTCTCACAGGGACGCGCTACACAGGTCTGGCCTGCAAACTTTCCTTTCCCCTTTGGTGCTTTGAGACAGGGTCTTGCTATGCAGTTCGTGCTGGTCTTGAACTCACTGTGTAGCCCAGGCTGGCCTCAAACTCTCAGTGATCTTCCTGCCTCAGCCTCCCTAGTACTGCATTACAGGGGTGCGCCACCATGCCCGGCTCTGCCCGCAACATCTGTAGGAAGTATGAGACGGGGAAGGCCTGTGAGCACCTACAGTATTTTGCAAAGTCTTTCTGCAGATCCGCTCGGGCGTTGACAAAGGCGCGGCCTCGCTCAGTGCCCACCACGAACACGTCTGCCTCGTACACGGCGACGCAGGCCACCTCGGCCTTGGACTTGGCCAGCTCTTTACACTGAAAGAGGAGCAGAACACGGTGTGTGGTGGACGGAGGTCCGCCAGACAGACAGACAGACGCAAAATTAGGACAAGCGCGAGTACTTGCTGAAAATGAGAAAAGTCACCAAGAAAAACATCGATCAGGGCTGGGGATTTAGCTCAGCGGCAAAAGCGCCTGCCTGGCAAGCGCAAGGTCGTGAGTTCGGTTCCCGGTACCGGAGAAAAACCAAAAAAAACACTTATCAAACTAGCAAGAATTAAGAAATTCAGCAGAAAATAAAGACAAAGAAAATCGATAATATATATACTACTGAGTGATGTTCACGCTTTTG